GCATGTTTTCTTTTAGCCTTGAGAATGATGCGGAATGCGTCGAAACGTTGGCTGTTGATTTAGATATTTCATTAAATAAAGTCCAAATAAGCCGAAAACCGACTTTTCACTAGTAAACATCGTTTGCACTTTTATTTCATGATAAATAATAGGTCTGTTTCTGCGGAAACCACAAACCGGTCAGAGCGAATTTCATTGGTTGGAAACAGTCAGAAACAGTCAGAAAACTAGTTTCAACCAATGAAATTCACTCTGACTGGTTTGTGATTTCTGCAGAAACAGACCTATTATTTATCATAAAATAAAAGTGCAAACGATGTTTACATACACTTTAAAGCTCTTCCTTTCTCTAATTTGAGGCGTTGTAAAACACTTGACACTAAAATATCACTTCTTCAATGTTATAATGTTCGATTTGTATTGTCTACATTTGTTCTGCAACAATACAATCTGGCTACACTGTAGCCACGAGTTGCGCGCGCATGTCATCTTTTATTACTTTCTAACTTGTATTCATTACAATTTAGCTCTCTTTTTCTATTTATGAGAGATACGTCTATTCTGTCTATTCTCAAAAGAAAACATTTTCTAAACATACCATTAGCTCTTGTCAATTTGGCAAACATGCGGCCTGGATGAACGTGATCGGTGGAGTTTTTGGCACGCCGTTGCCATGAGGAACCACGCGGTTGTCATGGGGCTTACGTTTCGCTATTGGCCAGGGTACCCGTAATTTTATCCTTCCATCTTGAGATATCGACTTACATTGAAATATCCAGTGGCGGTGGTTTGGTCATTGTCGATTTTCGTGTACGAGTTGCAATACGATATTATACGTCCGAAAAGTTCCGCACGAAGCTGTAAGTAGTTTATGAATAAAGTCAGCGATTTTTTTTACAACTGCATTTCCCTCACCGATGCCCCGTAGCCTCAGAATCATTGGCCACACATTAACTTTACGAAATGTGATTTTTCGATGATACTCAAATCTTTTATCCACTTGTGAGACATCACTAGACTGGAAATTTTATGCTTTTTTCAAAAATCTAATAATCCAATATGGCGGCCATAAGAAAAATGGAAGTTGAGGCAGGTTGCGGGATAACAAAAGACGATTGAGACTTGCCATGCACGCTATCTCATTGTTCTTGAAAAAGTGTCTGAATAATGTCACATTTTGACAGCTGTCAAATTAACCGTTTCGGGCTAACTGGCAGAAAACGAAATCCGTCATTTTCGGTTTTTCGCCGATATTTCCAAATCTAATTGAGCGATCGTTATTCTGAAGCCGATTATTGAATGCACTTAGCTTCCTCTAAAACTTTTCCCATTTAGCCTTTGCTGTAGGTATTATAGGAGCCGAGATCCCTGTATAGAGAAGCGAATCTGGGACACACTGTATACCAAATCCAAGACCCCCTTAACTGCCGCCATGGGCGCCGCCAGCCAGCGGGACAGGGGGGGGGGCAAGGTACGGGGGTCCTGTCGTACATGCGCCACCGGTGTAAATTTTCGCAAATGTGAAGGTCATTCACTTTTCCATAACTTGCCCTATGCATCGCTCATCAATCAGTTTAAGGCCGCGTTAATGGCCGCCATGTTTAAATTTAGTTTTTGAAAATGACGACTGCGTCACTCTACACATAGGGTTCAATATTTTATTATTTGTCCAAAACAAAATCTGTTTGTCGGTGAAACACTTAGTGACAGAGAAAGACAAAATACAATTATGATGCTCACAATGTAGCTTTTTTTCCGTGGCGCCATCTTCTTAAAATTGCTTGAACTGTTTCCACCTTCAAAATTCGTTTTAAGGTCATCTCAAAAAATTCGCAATAATTTCCAAAATGCTTTGGCATAAACAATATTTGATATATTATCTACAATCTCTACAATTAGCTTTTGTTAGTTTTTCGTGGTTATCAATAAAATATGCTTTTCACGGATCCAAGCTTGATAAACGTGCAAATATGCAACCTCCAACACATTTAATTGTTTTGGTGGTTGCGAACATGATTTTTGAATTTAAAAAAAAGGCTGAATATCGAAAAACCAAAATAAGGAATTGTAGATAATCGATCAAATAATGTTTATTCCAAATTTGAGCCAATTCTGATGTGCCGTTTTTCTAAAGACCTTAAAACAAGTTTCGAAAAATCAACCAATCACAGTTTTCAAACATGGCGGCCTTAAGAGCGGCGTCAGATAAGAGCCAGCGTGCCATCTTTCGGGCTTTATGACATACATTAAATATTTTTTAATCACAGGTGTGCAAATTTCCTGTAAGTGATTGACTAATTTACAAGTAGATGGCGACATTTTCAATATCAATTCGTTTACACAGTGATATACAGAGGACTGAATAATTTTATTCAGATGCAAATGAAATAATAGTACTTCACATTATTAGCTAGGTAAAACAGATTTTACTAGCGTTTGAAACAAGTGACTATGCTTCCTGAATTCAGCGACATCTTTAAGAGAAGCTCTAAAAACACGTTTGATTTGCTGAAAATGACAGCAATCAGCTCCTTATTTGGCAGATTTTGATTAATTTGAGAATAAAAACATCATAAATTTTCGGAAATTCTGTTCTTTTCATTTATTTCAGCATTTTATTTTTATTATCCGAAATTTTGGAAATTTATTGTTGCTGTGCTACTCTATGTGTTTATCCATTTTTCATTTAAATCCGTGACCGGAATTTGCATACTGTTGTCAGCAAAATTGGTAATAATTTTACTATTTAGGTTGCGTACCTACTTTGCAACCAAAAATGCTTCGACCCATACTCCAATCTATTATTGTTATGAACATAACTTCATTTCACTGAAAATTGGTCTAAATCTGGAATTGAACGAGTGAACGTGAGCGAGTAGCTCTAGTGTTTCAGCCGCCATTCAAGACTTCTACGGAGATATTTTGGACAACTTTCTGTCAGAGGCACAAACCTGGTATGAGATGTGGAAGTTGTCTGAACTTGCTCCTCAAGAAATTGGAAAATTAAAATATCCAGCCACAACCTGTACCGTTGAGAAGTCCTTGAGCACATTAAGGGCCCCATACACTACGATGAAACACGACGATTTTCATCGCTACGATGAAACACGTCGTTCTAAAACCGAAGTGTGTGATAGAAAACCACGACGGTTTTCTACAGGGCTCCACAGACTACGATGAAACACGACGGTTTTCATCGCCACGATGAAATACGTCGTTCCAAAACCGAAGTGTGTGGTAGAAAACCGTTCGTGTGTATGAAATGTTGAACCGCCAAAAATCAAGCGCGGACTGAATTTTAAACCGACGATGAAACACGACGGTTTTCTACCCACACTTCGGTTTTGGAACGACGTGTTTCATCGTGGCGATGAAAACCGTCGTGTTTCATCGTAGTCTGTGAGCCCTATAGAAAACCGTCGGGATTTTCTATCACACACTTCGATTTTAGAACGACGTGTTTCATCGTGGCGAAGAAAACCGTCGTGTTTCATCGTAGTGTATGGGGCCCATTAAGGAGAGTCAAGACATGGCTAATGGGCCCCACACACTACGTTCTTTCCCGTCGGTTTTCAGCGCCAAGATGAAACACGTCGTTCCAAAACCGAAGTGTGTGGTAGAAACCCGTCGTGCTTTTCTTCCACACACTTCGGTTTTGGAACGTGTTTTATCGTGGCGATGGAAACCGTCGTGTTTCTTCGTAGTGTGTGGGGCCCTTGAGATCGACTATGAGGCATGATAGACTTTCCGGACTTTGTATGATGAGTATTCATTGTAAAAGAATCCGAGAAAATAAAGCATTTATCCATACAGTTATCAAAAAATTCAGTCTCCGCCCCAGAAGGATTCAATTATTGTTCGAACAATAAGAAACTTTGAAAAAATAAAAAAATAAGTTAATATTTTAGTTTTGTTTTATGTATGTATAAAATGTATGCTCTTTTCTGGATTTCTATTGACATATGTTTTAGTGTTCTATATTTTTGGGAAAATAAATATATTTTGATTTTGCTGTATAATTCAACTTTCTAAATCCAGGGGGGGGCAAATGCCCGATTTGCCCCCCCCCCTGCCGGCGCCCATGACTGCCGCAGAAAGTTATAATGTGGTGTATAGAATAGGTTGTGTCGACTGTGACCTAAAATATATTGGCCAAACTTCCAGAAACTTGAAAGGCAGACTTACGTCACATAAGAGTGACTGTAGGAGAGAAATCCAATCGAGTGCTCTCTCTGAACACACTACTGAGACGCACCACCAACCAAACTTTGTTGAAGCTGAGGTTTTAACCACTGAAAACAATTATTATAAAAGGATCTTTTTAGAGATGGTCCATATTCACAATGAACCCAATGCAATGAACAGAAGGACAGACATACAAAATCTCAGCAACATTTACTCATATCTACTCAAGTTACACCGAGATACTATCCCCCCAACCAATTAATTTTTATTTTTCTAGTCAAAAAAATCGAAGGTGCATAACTGGGGAAATTTTCATTAATGTTATGTTTGTACTGTTCGTGACGTATTGATGCCTCCATGTTTGGTTCTCAGTGTTAGTACTTGCTCAAGCTACTTGCACCGTGTAAATGAGGCTTTATGCATGAGAGAATATTGGAAAAACCTATTTAAAAATTAGTAAAAGCGACGGGGCACACAAATATTGTGTTTTTGGAAAGTGTAATAGTGACAGCAGAGTTGGAAGATTCGGATATTCCGAGGGAATAATTTTTTACCGCTTTTCCTGGCCATGTCTTCAACGTAAATTCCTTTTAACTTCCAATACGCTGTTTTTCTCTACAATATCATAACGAAAAATTGCATCCGACACATCTGCTGCTGATAATTTAACATTTTTAAAAGACATTTGGGCCATTTTAAATTGGAAAAGGTATTAATTACAACTTTTTTATAAAGGTGAGTTTATACAGCCACCAATTTTGCATTCGCTCAAATTAATCAATCAAAATTCATAGTTTCGGCTAATCACAATAATTATGGAACAAGCGGGTAGCAGTAGCAGTAGCAGGAAGCCGGGGCGGGTAGGGAAGGCCCCCATCCAATGCCAAAGCTGCCTAAATTTGCAGCAATTAGCGGGACACCATCTGGGGTCGCATGGAATCCCCCACGTAAGAATGTTTAACATTTTTTACAACATTATCTAATTGATAAAATTTACTTATTCTTGTTTACAGGCTCTAGCAGCGTTGGGGGAAATATCGGCACGTCTTCGTATTTTAAATGAAGAGGCCATTGTGCTTGGGGCGGTGGTGAGGTCGGCGGTGGAGTCTATGTCCAGGGCACACCGGACTCCTGCCCAAAATAAGGCCCTATCTGCCGCCTACACCACGGTGGTGAGGAACCATTTGGGCCTCTTCAGTTTAATTTATAATGAAGAGGCCCAAATGATTCATCGCCTCCTGGTGGAGGTGGCCGATGAGCAGGAGCTCCAGGAGCCCCAGGTGCACCACACCCCGCCGGACTCACCACCACCACTACCAGCCAAAAGGACGAGGGTACGGGCCGATCAATTGGCTATGATGGAGGCAGCAAGGTGGAAGGAGGGTTGGAAGTGACTGAAAAAAAAAAAATCAAATAAATATTACTCAATTTTAAATTCAACCTTTTGTGGACTTTTTATTGTCTTTTTTTTTTATATTTATGACATACTTACATATTATTTTTTATCTCTGTCTGTGTGTAGCACTAGCGTAGCATAGTGTGTATTTTTTCAATTGTATATTTCCGTGTTCTTTTATATTTTACCTATTTATTTATTTATCTTAATTTGACTAAATAATAGCTATTTATATAACAAGTACATAAAGTGAGGCTTTATTGTACGAATAATTTTATGGCCGAGCGAGCTTGCGAGTCAATAAAGCCTCACTTTATGTAAGCGTCATATACATGATTTTATATACGATTATGACTGGTTTTTGTTGAAAATTAGAAAAATTTAAGGTTTAAAGTCAATCCCTATTTTCTGAACCTTGTGTTCAAAAATTCCAAAAAAAATATATGTTTTATGGTTATCGCAATAAAGTAGCACTTTATTTTACTAGTAAAATAAAGTTCTACTTTATTGACGCAAAACTGTTCTATAAATAGCACTTTATTGGTCAATCGGACATAAAGGTTTTTTTTTTTGTTGTGTCCCTTATAGTGTTTGAAACCTATGTCAAGAAATGTTGTGTTAAATGAATGTATTTATTATTTTTGTAAATTATTGCCTACGGTAATTTTAATTTGATTGATATTATGACTTGCTGGCTTATCTAGGTTTAGTTGTAAAATTTAATTTAAGTTACGTTAGCTTTGTCAATAAGATTTTTGTATTCTTGGACATTAAAGCATATTTACTACTAAATAAATAAATAAATAAATGTTTATTGACGGACTTGCCATTTTCAAATGAGTACATAGTTCAAATTGATAAATCCATGGTGCACCCTGTCAAAGGCCTTGGAAAAATCAGTGTAAATTGAATCAACCTGACCTGACATCTCTCCTCCAATGCCTCCGACAGAGCCTCACCATAGACTAGCAAATTAGTCAAGATGAGATTCCCAAGTTTTCAATGTTTGAAGTGGGACACCCATCAAATATATTATTTTTGAAGAATTTAGGAAAAAAGGTTGATGAAAAAAGCTTGGAAAGATTTCTGGGTAATTTTGAGATTGGTTCTTTTACTATTAGGATTATGAATGGCAAAATGAAAGGACAGGCCTTCATAACATTTCAAAGTAAGGATATTACAAATCTCTTGAACAGAAATATAGGCGTTTTAAATTATTTTAGATCAAGTTCAAGCTACACAAGGATTAGAAGCTCTGAATGGTGTTTTTATTGATGGAAAACCAATTATAGCTCAGTTTGGAAAAGTCCAAGAATTTTCATAATCTTGTATTATTATCCTTATTACTTACTGTACTTTCAATAAAATCATTTTTTCCCTTGGGCTGATTTTTTTTTATTCGTTCCATAATTTGAAAATTATAGTTATTTAAAAAATAGAAATTTTTCCCTTAAATGAATGTTACAATTTAAGAAAACCAAAATTTCAATAACAAAATTCAATTCAAATAAAAAATGATGAGAGTTCCAAATTTAAATAATATTTTTTTTTCTAAGCATGGCTTCCATTCACTATAATGTTATATCAGATTACATAATGTTACACGAGGAAAATATTTCTGACTAATCTAATAAATAACGCACCTTATATCTAAATAATGTATGTGTACAATAATAATTATTATGCTCTGTTCAAATGAAAAACAAAACAAATCCGGTAGTTCCTTTGGAAACTACATTAGTAAAAAAGTTGTTATATATTATGTATATCACAAATCCTATTGGTAGCTCATCATGGGCATTTTCAACTTTTGGGGTAGGTACTCATGAATCTAAAATAATTAATAGTTTTTAAATTATAAAAGAAATACAAAATAATACCTATGACCCTCTCAATCTTCACTGCATAATATTTGCAACACTAGCCATACTTCCACTAACATAGGCCAGAGTCGAAGATAAATCCTGAAAGCTGAATTGTGGGAAATATTGAGGTTCCTCTTCGATGGAGCCCAAAGGTCCTGTGCTATCTGGAGGTGTTAGTTCCACACTTTCATCAGTAAACTCTTGATCAAAATACCTAGTGTCTATATCGGAGGTTACGTGAGGTTTGAAAGGAGGAGGAATCTGTGTATGTGATAAAATGTATTTATAAATCCTTCTTTAGTAATAATTTTTGTACCTTCTTTAGTTCAAGATCTCTCCAATTAATGCTGTCAAAGAAAGGGTGAGCCATAATTTGCTTGGCATCGTCTGGACCTCCACCTAACCTAAACAACCACAAAGGTGGTGTGAGACAATACAATTCAGAATAATGTAATTAAAGTACCTTTTAGTGGGATCTTTGATGAGTAGTCCTGAGAGCAAATTTCTAGCTTCCTCACTCAAGTTTCTGGGAAATTTAACATCTGACATCAGAATCAGAGTAAAGAGCATGTCTAGATCTCTATTGTAAAAGGACAATCGTCCGCACGTCATTTCGTGCATGACGACGCCAATACCCCACCAATCTACTGCTCTTGCGTAGTCATTTTTCTCCAAGACTTCAGGTGCAAGATATAGGGGAGTGCCTGAAATGTACCGACTATAAATTTTCCTATAAAATAATAATAAACATTAGATAATTTACCACAAAACGTCTTAGTAGTTCTTCCATATGTAATATCTTCCTTACACAAGCCAAAATCTATAATCTTAATGTGGCCATCTTTGTCTAGCAGTAAGTTCTCCAATTTCAAATCCCTGTATATAATGCCTTGAGAATGCAAATAAGCAAGGGCTGAAATTATTTCAGCACCATAAAATCTTGTTCGGTCTTCTGAGAATACTTTTTCCCTTGATAAATGAAAATACAATTCGCCACCATTGACATATTCCATTACAAAGCATAATCGGTCGTTGGTTTGGAATGAGTACTTTAATGACTAAAATAAAATGTTTATCACCTGTCCCTGGTGCAAAATAAATCAACTTACAGTTAAAAATGCATGATTTGTAGTTCTTAATACTCTATTTTCAGTCTGAGTATGAGCAACTTCATCTTTCTGAATAATGAATTTTTTTTTGAGAATTTTTATGGCATACAAATGGCTGGTGGCCTTCTCTCTGCAAAGAAACACTTTTCCGAACGTTCCTTTTCCCAACACTTTGATAAATTCAAAACATTCGAGGGTCACTTTTCTTTTTCCCGTCGACTTGGAAATTGATGTTTCTAAAGGCAATTGGACCAGATATAAAATCAATAATATTACTGAGCTGTAAATTACCTTGTAATGAACACTTTTCCCACAAGTCAACCATCATATCAGGGTTAGCTGCATTATTCATTTTTACATCGTCACAATCATTTGATAATCTTTCAGACACAGATTTAATGGCTTGTACCCACTTTTCCCTACAATAAGTTATTAAAATATAAATATCATCTTTTGCTGAAGTTGCAAGTATTTCACCTTTCTTCTGCAGTTTCGACATGGAACATTCTCTCAATAACTGTAAGCCACTGTAAGCAACGTAGGTATAACAAAAGCATACGGTTTTGGTCTGTCTATTGACATAATCTGACATTCTTTAACTGTAAAGCTGTTCAATGGGTCGCTGTAATAATCATCTGGTTTGTTTTTGAAGCCTGTCAATGCTCCATTATCGAACAACACAAAATATCTGGCTCTCCAATATTTTATATGCTCTCTCCTCTTGAATAACCATCCCTCTTTAACGATACGTGCCTTAGAGCTAGAAGAAGCCCCAGGTCCCACTTCGACAGGATCCATCTTTCAACCTAAATCAAATCAAGTTTATTTGTTGTACTGTATACAGGGCCATTTTTTATGTTTTTCCACCCCCCTTAACTTTCTTGTGCCACTGTGTATAAAATAAAAAATGTAAACAGGAAAAGTGTAGCTTGAAAAATAGTTCAGTTTTGTTGATGCAGAAAGTTTAAAAAACAAAAAAATGTTTTTTTTTTTTTGCAAATGAGACACCCTGTATATATCATTAAATATTCGGATTCTACTTTGAACTCTGAGCAGATTTCAAGTGATATACACCAATTTGAAGTGAGGTAGGTAATTGCGATATGATTTTTTAATATTCAATTTTTTTATTTTTCAGCTTTGCTCAACTTTGACTATAAAGCAGATCAAAATTAGTGGAAAACAACCCAGACGTCATTTCCAAATAGCCATTTTCAGCAGAAAAAAAAATTAAAAAGTTAATCCAATTTTTGGCTCTGGAAAACTTTCAAAATCTTAACACAGTCATGAGCAACTGCCTTAAGCTTTGTTAAATTTGAAGCGAATTCAAATAAATTATATATCACTGGAAAGAGCATTCAATTTTCTATAAATCTGTTCAAAATTGAAATCGATTGCTCAAATAGTTTTTGAGCAATTGAGCCTCAAAGTTGACTTTTAGTTTGAATTTTGTTAAAAACTTCGAACTCAATTTGCCTCGCAATTTGCTCAAAAACTATAAACCTGGGAATATTATAAATTACAGCGTGTTTAGAGCTTATTAAGAGCTACAAATGCTAAAAATTTCAATGCAATTTGTTCAACGGTTACTGAGCAATTAAGGTTTGAATATTTTGAAATCAGAATTCAGTTGGTTATTTTTTTTTAAACATTAAAATAGAAAGTGGGTTCAATTGAAGGTTTACTTAATTTCTATCCTATATTTTTTGATTCTTGAAAACATAACTGACTTAATTAAAAATCCCTTAAACTATGAAAATTTAATACCTTTCCGGTAGTCCAGCAGAATCAGATTGGGTCCCCAGTACCAATTTTAAATATATCTAGGTACTACAATAATTGATAAAAGCCCAGAATAAACAAGCCAGTAAGCAGTAAGCTATACATGTTAGATCTGTCCACGATCAGAAAAGTCATACCAGTGTTGCCACAGGCTCTGAAAATTTCGTGCCAGACTCTGAATTTAAAACGGGCCAGATTTCAGATTTTCGGGCAAACCCTCCACAAATGAAAAAGAAGAGGGAAAGCCCGCCGCCGGAGGCCGAAATTTTTTTCGGGTGCCACCCCCAAAAACACTTATTTTGCATACAAAAATAATGATTTGGCTTGTTATGGAGAAACGGGCCAGATTCGGAAAAGAGTGGCCAATGGGCCTCTCCGTCCTAGAAAAAGCCAGATCTGGCCATATGGGGGGTCAGTTAAGTTAGCCCCCCCCATATTTCCAAATCCATTAAAACTTATACCATTTTTTTGCACCCATTTTGCGCCGTTTTGCACCACCCGAAAAAAATTTTGCACCTTCTCAGGCGAGAGATTATATAGAAGTATTACTGGGAGGGGGCCAAATTAACCATGGCCCCCCCCCACACGCCGAATTTCAATTTATGATAGCATAAATTGTTCTCCGAGTTTTGCACCATTTTGCACCATAAATATTAAATTTTGCACCGCAACCCTTAGACCTCTACAGGGGGTTGAAAGAGAAATAGTTGCCCCCCCCCCACACGCCAAATTTCAATTTGAAATAGCAGAAATTGTTTTCCGAGTTTTGCACCATTTTTCACCATAAATATCAAATTTTGCACCGCAACCTTTAGGCCTCTACAGGGGGTTGAAAGAGACATATTAACTTTGTTCCAACACAGCTGAAAACCCTATACAATTTACCCTCGAATTTACCCAAGGATAATACACACTACACACGGATTGCTTATCGGCCTCTTTTTGGATTTCAAGGTCATCTGGTGTAGCACCAGACAGGCTGTTTGCGCCAGCGGTCGCAATTTAGGATATTAAAGCAGACGCCAGCAGAATTCTAGCCTGTGGTGCAAACACCCTACGTCAAGGCAAGTCAAGGCGAGAAACGACACGCTGCTACGTCATCACCGATACTTTGGCACTATTTCTCTTTCAACCCCCTGTAGAGGTCTAAGGGTTGCGGTGCAAAATTTAATATTTATGGTGCAAAATGGTGCAAAACTTGGAGAACAATTTCTGCTATTTCAAATTGAAATTTGGCGTGTGGGGGGGGGGCAACTATTTCTCTTTCAACCCCCTGTAGAGGTCTAAGGGTTGCGGTGCAAAATTTAATATTTATGGTGCAAAATGGTGCAAAACTCGGAGAACAATTTCTGCTATTTCAAATTGAAATTTGGCGTGTGGGGGGGGGTCAACTATTTCTCTTTCAACCCCCTGTAGAGGTTTAAGGGTTGCGGTGCAAAATTTAATATTTATGGTGCAAAATGGTGCAAAACTCGGAGAACAATTTCTGCTATTTCAAATTGAAATTTGGCGTGTGGGGGGGGGTCAACTATTTCTCTTTCAACCCCCTGTAGAGGTCTAAGGGTTGCGGTGCAAAATTTAATATTTATGGTGCAAAATGGTGCAAAACTCGGAGAACAATTTCTGCTATTTCAAATTGAAATTTGGCGTGTGGGGGGGGCCAACTATTTCTCTTTCAACCCCCTGTAGAGGTCTAAGGGTTGCGGTGCAAAATTTAATATTTATGGTGCAAAATGGTGCAAAACTCGGAGAACAATTTCTGCTATTTTAAATTGAAATTTGGCGTGTGGGGGGGGGGTCAACTATTTCTCTTTCAACCCCCTGTAGAGGTCTAAGGGTTGCGGTGCAAAATTTAATATTTATGGTGCAAAATGGTGCAAAACTTGGAGAATAATTTCTGCTATTTCAAATTGAAATTTGGCGTGTGGGGGGGGCCAACTATTTCTCTTTCAACCTCCTGTAGAGGTCTAAGGGTTGCGGTGCAAAATTTAATATTTCTGGTGCAAAATGGTGCAAAACTCGGAGAACAATTTCTGCTATTTCAAATTGAAATTTGGCGTGTGGGGGGGGGGCCATCTATTTCTCTTTCAACCCCTTGTAGAGGTCTAAGGGTTGCGGTGCAAAATTTGATATTTATGGTGCAAAATGGTGCAAAACTTGGAGAACAATTTCTGCTATTTCAAATTGAAATTTGGCGTGTGGGGGGGGGGCCAACTATTTCTCTTTCAACCCCCTGTAGAGGTCTAAGGGTTGCGGTGCAAAATTTAATATTTATGGTGCAAAATGGTGCAAAACTCGGAGAACAATTTCTGCTATTTTAAATTGAAATTTGGCGTGTGGGGGGGGTCAACTATTTCTCTTTCAACCCCCTGTAGAGGTCTAAGGGTTGCGGTGCAAAATTTAATATTTATGGTGCAAAATGGTGCAAAACTCGGAGAACAATTTCTGCTATTTCAAATTGAAATTTGGCGTGTGGGGGGTCAACTATTTCGCTTTCAACCCCCTGTAGTCCTGTAGAGGTCTAAGGGTTGCGGTGCAAAATTTAATATTTATGGTGCAAGATGGTGTAAAACTCGGAGAACAATTTATGCTATCATAAATTGAAATTCGGCGTGTGGGGGGGGGCCATGGTTAATTTGCCCCCCCCCCCCCCCAGTAATACTTCTATATAATCTCTCTCCTGAGGGGGTGCAAAATTTTTTTCGGGTGGTGCAAAACGGTGCAAAATGGGTGCAAAAAAGTGGTATAAGTTTTAATGGATTTGGAAATATGGGGGGGGCTAACCTAACTGACCCCCATATGGGGCCACCTGTGGCAACACTGAGTCAAACCGTTTGAGGAGTCATTCTACCAGAGGTGCGGGACATTTCACGGTATTTTAAAGTTTTGGCGGGTTTTGGTAAAACATAAGAGTTTTTAATTGCAAAATTATTCCAGTAAAGAATTCTGTTGACAGAAATATGAAAATACATATGTATAATTTAGAATAAAAATCAGAAATTCTTTGGTAGGTACAACAGGGGCGTGCGGTCCATGGAAGCGGGGGAAGCACCGCTTCCCTAAACTTTTGAGTTTAGAGAGATAAAAAAATTACCATTTATTAATTTATAATGTATAGCAATTAACAATAATTTAGTAATTATTTTCTCTGAAACATGACGTAAATGTATTAAAAGCTCATTGCGAAAACGTAAACGCAACCAATATTTGTCGCAACGCGTCGAACCCAGCCGGCCCAAGCTTGGAAGCGCGTCTGGAAATCGCTGCTGTTCGTTTTGAATCTTTGAAGAGGACGAATGGCTTATTGACCCTTTGGCTCCATACGCGACGCCGGCCGGCGGGCACGTTTTAGCCCAGTATAGTGGAATAAAATCACTGCTCTAACTCGCTGTTTTCTGAGGGTGGGTGATTCCGAGGTATAACCAGATGAAACCTATATAATCTTGTAGAGGACACTTTGGGGCATAGGAAATGGGAATGTACAACTTTTTTTAATAGGACTGAACTTTAAAATCGGCCCTTGAACGTGACTGAGCTCGAATTTGAAAAACTATGTTTTTCTGAACATTACCCACTGTATTAATTTAAGCATACAATTTAAAATTCTGATTTTTTGCACACTAATACTTGAAACATGAGCGCTTCTAATGACAGAAATTTCGAAAAGGCTCAAGGTTTTTTTGTTAAAAGGTTAGGAATATAGAATTATCAAAATCGTGCATTTCAAACTTCACCCTGCGGCGAGCAATGTGTATTATTGAAAATTTCTATACATATATATGGAATCAAATGTAGTTAAAACATTGACGAAGTTTTTTTAAAAAAAATTAAGGCGCTAACTTTAACGGTTATAGAAATATGAATTTTTATCCAAGAGCCCTGGAGTGCGCTCAGTCCATCGTGAACCGCGTCGCGACGGAATTATTCGTGCATTCACCGAGAGGTGCATTGTCTAACTTTTAAAGTTTTGTGCGTTCGTATGCGAAAAACAGCTAAGTCTGATTTATTATCAAAGT